TAAACCTTTAGGAATTCCAAAATAGCAGGACAATACTACCTACTTCAGTGAGCTGGTGAAGGACCTCAAATTCCCTTTCAAAAAATTTAAAAAACTGTTAAAAATAAGTAATATCAAATATAGTTATATAGTTATATTTCTAATAATTCTGACAATTTTTCTACCAACCTGTCAATGTGCTCAGCCTCCTCTCCCAGAAATAAGTTTTTCTGTCCCTGTTGGATTTAACCCTTATCAGATAAAGTCCTGGGTCTTCCACTCCACCAATCCTCCTGTCAAATTTGTCACCTCGAACATACAACAATTACTATTGATCCTTGGGACTCCAGACTCCAAACACTTATCATGGGCCAATATATAGACAGTTCCTTCAGCCTCCTCTGACCAATAGTTATCAAGCAGACAGAACCCAAAGAAGTCTTAATGTCCCTTTATAGCAGGAAGTAGCCTGAGCAGTTGTTTCCCCAAAGTCCTCAAAGATTTTGGGTTTCAGTACTTGAGGAGGGAATGTTACATAAGATAGATAGTAAAACAAGGCAGGGAGGAGGGAGACATGTCTTACCTATTAACCTGCAGAGATCATAGTAAAAAAAAAATTACAGTGTAGCTTGTGTGTACCCAAAAGATACAGTCATTACTAGTATATACTGAAATATGAAAAAAAAACATTGCAAATTTGCATTTATTTATATAATAAAATGCATTATTTTACATTTATTTTCAGTTACAACCTACAATTTATTCATTTCTTTATTTATTCACTTATTTTTAGAGAAAGGGGAAGAGAAGGAGAAAGTGAGGGAGAGAAACATCAGTATGTGGTTGCCTCTCATGTGCCCCCAACCAGAGACCTGGCCCACAACACAGGCATGTGCCTTGACTGGGAATCTAACCAGTGACCCTTAGGTTTGCAGGCCAGAGCTCAATTCACTGAGCCACACCAGCTAGAGTGCAACCTAGAAATTATTGAATAAAGAAATATTTTTAAAAAAGAATAAAACTTTTTCTTTTCAAATAATGGAAATATGGGCATTGCTAAAAAACACAACCAAAATATTAATATCCTTTAATATTAGTTAATCATAATCTACAATGGTTGGCTTTGCAAAACATTTATAAGTCATCACAAATAATGTACAAAATCATGAAAAGCAAGGACCTACATCCAAGATTACTCTATCCAGCAAAGTTATCATTTAGAATGGAAGGGTAGGTAAAGTGCTTCCCAGAGAAGGTCAAATTAAAGGAATTCATCATCAACAAGCCCTTATTATATGAAATGTTAAAGGGACTTATCTAAGAAAAAGAAGGTCAAAACTGTGAACAGTAAATGACAACAAACTCACAGCTATTAACAACCAAACCTTAAAAAAAGAACAAAACAAAAACAAACTAAGGAAACAATTAGAACAGGAACAGAATCACAGAAATGGAGACCACATGGAAGGTTATCAGTGAGGAGTAGGGGAGAATGGGGGAAATGGTATAGGGAATACGGAGCATAAATGGTAGGTACAAAATAGACAGGGGAAGGTTTAGAATAGTACAGGAAATGGAGAAGCCTAAGAAGTTATATGTACTACCCATGGACATGAACTAAGAGGGGGGGGGATGCTGGTGCAAGGGCAGGTGCAAGGTGGAGTGGAATAAAAGGTGAAAAATGTGACAACAATAATAGCATAATCAATGAAATATACTTTAAATTAAAAAAAAAATCACAACGAACAAAAGTCCTGGATCGGATGGCTTCAGGAATACATGTTAGCAAACATGTAAAGAAAAACTAACACCTATCTTTATCAACTTATCCTCCCAAACATTTCAAAACAGGAAGTAGTTCCAAATTCATTTCACAAGATCACAATTATCCTGATTCCAACACTAGATAAAGACACTATAAAGATAAATAATTATAAGCCAATATGCCTGATGAACATAGATGCTAAAATCATCAACAAAATATTAGCAAACTGGAACCAGCAATACATTGAAATATCATCCACCATGATCAAGTGGGATTTATTCTTGGAGTACAAGGTTGGTATAATATCTATAAACTACAAATTAAATGAAGGATAAAACTCACATAATCATACCAATAGATGCAGAAAAAGCATTTGATAAAATCCAGGACTCATTTATGAAAAAAAAAAACTTTCAGTGAGGTGATAATAGAAAACAAAACACAGCATAATAAATGTAACATAGGCAAACCCAGAGACAACATCATACTCAAAAGAGAAATATCAAAAGCACTTCCTTTAATATCAAAAATAAGACTGATGAGTTTGCTTCTACCACTTTATTCAGTATAGTATTGGAAGTCCTAGCCAGAGTAATCAGATAAGAAGAATAAATAAAATGCATCCAAGTTTGAAAGGAAAAAGTAAAAACTGTCATTCTTTTCAGATTACCTAATACTGTATATAGAAAACCTGAAAAACTCTACTGAAAAACTACTATAACTCATAAATAAATTCAGTAAAGTAGCAGGACAGAAAATACATATTCAGGAATCAGTTTCATTTTATACACCAATAAAGAACTAGTGGAAAAGGGAACTAGGAAAGCAATATCATTTACAATTGCATTAAAAATTTAGAAATAATTTTAACCAAGGATATAAAAGATCTGTACTCAGAAAATTATGACACTGAAGAAAAAAATGGAAGAATTACACAAGTAAATAGAAACATATACCATATTCATGGATAGGAAGAGTTAATATCATTAAAATGTTCATACTACCCAAAGCAATCTATAGACTAGAAGCAGTACTGATCAAAATACCAATGTCATATTTCATAGAACTAGAACAAATATTCCAAAATTTTATAAGGAACCACAAAAGACCATGAATAGTAACAGCAATCTTGATAAAGAAGAGCAAAGTTGGAATTATGCTATCTGATACCAAACTTACTACAAGGCCATAGTTATCAAAAGAGCATGGTACTAGAATAAAAACAGACATATAGATGAATGGAACAGAATAGAGAGCCCAGAAATAAACCCACACTTTTATGGTCAGTTGACATTTGACAAGAAGGCAAGAACATACGATTAGGTCAAGACAGCCTATCCAATAAATGTCATTAACAAAATTTAGACAGATGTATGCAAAAAATGAAACTAGACCAACTTTTTGCACATAGAGAAGGATGAATTTAACACATATTGATGACTTAAAATGTTAGACTTGAAACCCTAAAATCCTAGAAGAAAACATAGTAAAATCTCAGACATTTCTTGTAGTGTTTTTTTTTTATTTTTTGATAAATCTATTTAGATAAAGAAAAGAAAACAAAAAAATAATGACACAGGACTACATAAAACTAAAAAGTTTTTGGATGCCATAGAAAACCATGAACAAAATGAAAAGATAAACAAAATGTGAGAATGTATTTGCCAGATACACCTGACATGTGATCAATATTCAAGATTTATAAGAACAAGTCAACACCAAATATAATCCAATTAAAATGGGCAAAGAACCTAAAGAGACACTTCTCCAAAGAGGACATGAAGATGGTCACTAATCATCAGAGAAATGCATATTAAAACCACCATGAGATATCACCTCACATCTGTCAAAATGGCTATCATCAATAAATCGACAAACAACAAGTGTTGGGAAGGATATGAAGAAAATGGGACCCCTGTGAACTGTTGGTTGTAATCAGATTGGTACAGACACTGTGGAAAGCAGTACACAGTTTCCTCAAAATGAAACTGCCTTATGGCCCAGTGATTCCACTTCTGGGAATATGTCCAAAGACATCTGAAACACTAATTCAAAAGTATATATGCACCCGTATGTTCACTGAAGCATTATTTACAATAGGCAAAATTTGGAAACAGTCTAAGTGCCCATCAATAGATGAGTGGATAAAACAAAAACAAAACCAAAAAACTGTGGTGTATTTATACAATGGAATACCACTAAGCCACAAAAAAGAAGGAAATCTTACTTCTTGCAACATCATTATGCAAAGTGAAATAAGCCAGTTAAAGTCAAATACCATATAATCTCACTTATATTTGGAAGCTAATGAACAAAATAAATAAAATATAAACAGATTCATACACATGGGGAACAAACTGACAGCTTTTAGAGGGGAAGAAATTTGGGGGAACTGAATGAAAAAGGGAAAGGGGTTACTAAAAATTTTTTAAAAAGAAAAAATAAAAATAAAGAAATTAATGGTTTTGTGCTTAGAAAAATAATAAAAATACAAAGAGACAAAAATGTTATCTTTGATTTAGCCTGAAGCTGCACATAACTCCTAAAATTCTGGCTGTCTCATAAAAATTTTGTTACTCAAACTTCCAAAGGTCAAGAGCTACTGAAAAGAAGGTCATCTACTAGTAGCAAATTTTTCTTTTTGAAAATTGCTATGGCATAAGATAACTTTTCTTGGATTATAAACTAAAGTATTTATCTTACTTGATTTTGGGATTTGGGTCTGCAGTGCTATAATCCAGGCACATGTTTTAAATGCTTTGCCTTTTGTAAATGATTATCAGCACACACACACACTCACACACACAGGAACAAGAATGTGGGATTAGGGAGACCGTCAAAGTGGATGAGATCAGAAAGAGGAGCAATTGATAATGTTGGAAAGAGTGCCAGGGAAGAGAGAGCCATGAGAAGGAAGGTTGAGATGGGTGGATAAACCAAAAGAATTATCCTAGATTAAAGGAGGTGATTGTTTAACATTACTTTATTATTTAGCAGATGTTATGATACAAGACTGAGGAGTTAAAATTAACTTTCAAAACCATGTAGGAGCCTTTTCAAAGTATTATAAGGAAATCTGTTATCAGGATGAATAGTTGGGAGCCAGGGAATTAAGAAAAATAATCTGAAAGTCAAGGGCTGGAGTGGAAATGAGAGGCAAAGTGGGAGGGCGAGGGCTGTGGAGGCACAGTTTTTCTCTAATGTGCAATGGGGATTTGTCAGTTGGAAGAAAGAGGAAGTTACTATAGCGTACTGAGAAAAAGGTTTGCTGAATTCAGAGATCAAACACCAGCTCTTAGTTAGAGTCAGAAGTTCTATCTCCTGCTCAAATGCCGCTGTTGCTGCCTCTATTGCTAGCAGTTCTCATCCCAGGTGGTGACAATGAGCACGGTAAGAGTAACTCTGGCAACTCCCAGCATGGGTGTAAGGGGTCTGGATAAAATCATACTGCACATAACCCTAAGGGCCTGGGCCCTCTTATCTCCAGCACTCTTCTTCTATTTTGGATGTTGCAGTGGAGCCAGAGGCCCCAGCACAGGCAAATTTCTCAGGAATTTTGTTTTTCAGACATTGGGTTATTTTTCCCTAGATCTCTCTGGTTTTCATTTTCCCCCTGTTTTTTTTCTGCTTTTTTCTTTCACTTCACATTTTTTTAATCCTTCCACTACCCACAGCTTTCCAGGGGCCGACCTCTTTCCATCTCATCCAGATATCATCGTTTGCCAATAGCACCTGGGCAAAAAATCAAGGCTCAGGTTGGCTGGATGACTTACAGATTCATGGCTGGGATAGTAACTCAGAGACTGCCATTTTCCTGAAGCCTTGGTCCAAGGGCAACTTCAGCGAAGAGGAGGTGACTGAACTTGTGGAGCTATTTCGAGTCTATCTTATTGGATTCATTCGGGTGGTACAGGATCATGTCAGTGAATTCCAGTTGACATGTGAGTGCAGTCTTCTGATCTGGGAAGATTATTAATGATTATTTTTCTCTCGGTTCAGGCTACTATACCCAGGATTTTTCTTTCCTTTATTGTTAGAAATGAGGCTGCTGCTGGTATACCATGACTGCTGCTGATATAACATGGCTGCTGCTGGTATAACATGGCTTACAGCAAACTTATTTTTTATAAGTAGAAAGAGTACACCCTGAAATAACAATAAAATTATAATAAATACATAAATGAGTAACGTTTGTTATCATTAACAAGTATTATTATGTAATGTACATATTGTATCCCTATGCTTTTTTTACAACTGCAACACAGTAGGTTTATACCAACACATAAGTAATCTCAACAAACACATAAGTGATCCATTGTGCTATGAAGTTATGATGGCTATGACATCATTAGGCAATAGAAATTTTGCAGCTCCATTATAATCTTATTGGACTACCTTCATATATGTGGTTTGTTGTTGGTTGAAAAGTTGTTCTGTGGCACATGATTGTAGTGAATTGGTTATTGGCTTATCATTTTATATCTCAGACCTTTCTCCCCACCAAAATGCAAATTTCTAGATCTTTCTCTCTATCCCGTTCTTTCTAGTTTTTTTTTTCAATATATTTTTCTCTGTTTTTCTTTTATCTAGATCCCTTTGAGATCCAGGGCATAGCAGGCTGTGAGCTGCATTCTGGAGAGGCCACAGTAAGCTTCTTGAAGGGAGCTTTAGGAGGATTAGATTTTCTGAGTCTCAAGAATAATTCATGTGTACCCGCTGCAGAGGGTGGCATCAGAGCACAGCGGTTCTGTACAATTTTCATTCAATACCAAGGTATCGCTGATATCATAGAGAAGCTTCTCTTTAAAACCTGTCCTCAATATCTCTTGGGTGTCCTCGATGCAGGAAAGGCAGAACTGCAAAGACAAGGTTAGTTCTGTTCTCTCTCCAAGACTTTTCTATTTTATTTCCTACCACCTCTTTAAATTCAAGAATAAGAGGTACCTAAGCAGAGAGGTGGTTAGTCAATAAATTACTTGGTTTCCAAAGCAGTACAAGGGATCACTTTCCAAACTTTGTGGGTTTCTGAGTCCCTATGCTCTAGGTTAAAGTCATAATGTTACTCTGTCCTTGCTTGTTCCTGCCCCAGTGAAGCCTGAAGCCTGGCTTTCCAGTGGTCCCATTCCTGGTCCTGGACATCTGTTGCTTGTGTGCCATGTCTCAGGATTTTACCCCAAACCTGCATGGGTAATGTGGATGAAGGGTGAGCAGGAGCATCCAGGAACTCATCAAAGTGACGTCCTGCCCAATGCTGATGGGACATGGTATCTCCGAGTAACCCTTGATGTTGTGGCTGGGGAGACTGCTAACCTGAATTGCCGGGTAAAGCACAGCAGTCTAGGAGGCCAGGACATCATCCTCTACTGGGGTGAGAAAGCACTGGATCTATCTGGATATAGGAGGAAATGGTCCTCACACATAGAGGGAGGGGCTAACAAAATGGTTAGGCTTAATGAGTGAGAGAAAGAAACAAGGAGGGAGGAAGAAAAGGAGAAAAAGTGAAACAGAAAAGTAGAGAGATGACCTAAGGCAATGATTTTTCAATCAGTGTGCTTTAAGAGGCACACCGGTGTGCCACAAGAATTTTTAAAACATGAAATACCTGACTATTCATCAGGGGCACTGACCTCTTTCCCCTTAGATTGTCAAATGAAAAAAATAACAGCCAACACAAAAATAGATGTCCAGTGTGAGTGAATCAAATTAATTTTTTGTCAGATTGTCAAATAGTACATTTTTATGGGTACTGCAGAATTTTAGTAATTAGCTTATGTGTGCCACGAGATGAAAAAGATTGAAAATCACTGACCTAAGGTATAAAAAATGTAAGCATTATGGACTATATATTGTGGGAAGTGGGGCAAGAAGAAGAGATACAAGATAGATATAGATATGCTGTGTTAGAAAATATGAAAGAGGGAGCTGGATAGGCACATATATCAGAAACAGGTGATGATGGTGGTAAAACTCAGGTGAACAAAGAAAAGCCAGGAGAATCAGAGGATTTTTTTTCAAGTTATAAGACAAAGTTTATTTAGAAAGTTACAAAGGCAGAAAAGATGTACCAGCTGAGCTGTGGGGGCTCAGGAAACAGATTACAGAAGCAAAAGAAGGGTGGTTGGAGCTTAGGAGAAAGAAAGGCAAAGCAACCATTCCTGGGGGATGGAGAGGGAATAAGGTGTGAGTGTGCTCCAGGGAGAGACAGCTGCAGAGAAAATGTTCTGAAGTGACGTTTTTGTGTCTTATCTCAATTGCCAGGATATCCCACCTCTACCAGTGTGATACTGCTGGCAGTGATATTGCCCACCTTGATTCTTTTGATATGTCTTGCATTATGGTTTCTGAGGCACTGGTAAGTTTTTAAAAGTCTTTTCTGTCTACCTCTTACTCTTTTAAGTATACTTTTATGTATTTACATCACTTTAGACTCAATCTTTCCATGAAACATTTTGTACTTTCTCTCCAATTTCCATCTTTTTATATAAATCTATTTTTAATTGTGGTAAAATGTATATGACATAAAACATTATTTTAGTGATTTTAAATACATAGCTTAGTAGTACTAATTGCACTACCATTTTTGTGCAATCTATCTCTACAACTCTTCTTATTTGAAGAAACTAAAACTCTCTACCCATTAAACAACATCTTGTCATTTCCTGGTCATCTAGGTCTAGACAACCAATATTCTATTTTTCGTCTATGTAAATTTGACTACTCTAAATACCTCATATAAGTGAAATAATAAGTATTTGTCTTTTTATGACTGAGTTATTTTATTTAGCACGGTGTACTCATGATTCACCCTTGTTTTAGCATGTTTCAGAATTTCTTTTCTTTTAAAGAAAGGCTGAATAATATTTCATTGTATTTATATAACATGTTAGTTTACCCATTTGCCTGTCAATAAACTTAGGTTGACTCCACCTTTTGGCCATTATGAATAATGCTGATATAAAGTGGGTGTACAATCATCTCTTATATAAAGCTAAAATTGCATGTGTTTTTAACAGGTCATATCAGAATATCCCGTGAGATTTTATCATGTCTCCTTTCTTATTTGGAATAAGTACTCAGAAGACCAGAAACCCAATTGTCAGCCCAGAAGTCAATCTCATCATATTTAATCAAATAATCATCATATTTGATCTACTCAGAGTTTCCACAGATTTTGAGATATATCATAATTTACATACAGCAGAAAAATAATTAAGAACTGTGAATTTATTATAAGATGGTATCAATAATAGGCTGTACCCAGTTCATAGATGTGAGATGTGAGAAAGACTGTATCTCAGAATAAATAAAGTACAAATGGTCCCTGACTTACACGTTTTTATTTTATAATGTTGTGAAAATAATACACATTCAGTAGAAATAGTATTTGAATTTGGATTTTTTCCTGGGCTAGAAATATGCAGTATGATAATCCTCCTGATGTTGGGCAGTGGCAGCAAGCCTAACTCCCAGTCAACCACAAGATCATGAGGATAAACAACCAATAGTATATAGTATGTTAGATGATTTCACCCAAGTATAGGCTAATATAAATGTTCTGAGCATGTTCAGGGTTGGCTAGGCTAAGCTGTGATATTCAGTAGGTTAGTTGTATTAATTGCATTTCTGATAAATACATTTTCTTTTTGTTTTAAGATTGTATTTATTTATTTTCAGAAAGAAGGGAAAGGAGGGAGAAAGAGAGAGAAACATCAATGTGTGGTTGCCTCTTGCATACCACCTACTGGGGACCTGGCTGGCAACCCAGGCATGTGCCCTGATTGGGAATCAAACAAGCAATCCTTTGGTTTGCAGGCCAGAGTTCAATGCACTGAGCTACATCAGCTAGGGCTGACAAACACACTTTTTATTTACAATGGATTTTTTAAAATTTTAATAGTTTATTTTAATTTTTTTTCCATTTTCAGTTACCCCCTGAATACCCTCTTTCACCTCGACCACTTTCTGCAGTCACCACATTGTTGTCTGTGTCCATGAGTCCTTTTTCTTTTTTACTTGATCCCTCCACCTCCCCCAACCCTTCACAGAAGTGTCAACTTGCTCTCTATCTATGAGTTTGTCAGTTCAGTTTATTCATTAGATTTCATATATGAGTGACATCCTATGTTATTTGTCTTTCTTTGACTGGCTTTTTTCACTTAGTATAATGTTCTCCAGGTCCATCCATGCTGTTGCAAAGGTAAAATTTTCTTCTTCTGATGGCTGATTAGTATTCCATACAATGGATATTTTTGTATGTAACCCCACTGTAGGCCAAGGTGCATCTATATCCAATTTAATGTGACATCCCTTTGGCTTACTGTTTAAAAACATTTTTTCTGCTTGTGCTGAAATATCATTTGTCAGAGTAAGCTAATTATAATTATGCTGAGATAACTGTGTTTGCAGAGGTGGTCACTTTTAATGTAATTTCTCTTTCTCTGCCTGAATGACTTTCTAACCCTCAAGGACTATTTGTGATGCTTTTTCCTCCAGGAAACTTCCCCTAGTGCTACAATAGAAGTAACCCTCCCTTGTCTAATATAGTGCAAATGTCCATTTTATTCTGTACCCTTAATGTTGCAGTTACATTTGTTTTCCTTTCTTTTCTATTTGTAACTTCCTTGAAAGAAGTCTTGCCTTGGATTCCTGGCAGGATCTTTATTTTGTATATATATATTGTTCAGTAAAAATTATCTGAGTTGATATGACTGCTATTTTATTCTTTATTTTTAAAGTATGTTTTATTGATTATGCTATTACAGTGTTCCCAATTTTTCCTCCTTTATCCCTTCTCTGTGCTGCACCCCCAACCCTCCAGCACCCACCCCCCTAAGTCCACATCCATGGGTTGTACATAAAAGTTCTTTGAATTTTCTGTTTCCTATACCATTCTTAACATCTCCCCTTCTATTTTATGCTTATCAATTATGCTTCTTATTCCCTGTACCTTCCACCTTATTCCTCCCATCCCCCTCACCCCATGAAAACCCTCCATGTTATGTCAATTTCTCTGATTTTGTTCCTGTTCTAGTTGTCAGCTTGGTTTTTGTTTTCATTGTTTTTCTTTTTTTTAGGTTCAGTTGTTGATAGTTGTGATTTCATTGTCATTTTACTGGTCATAGTTTTTGATATTCTTCCATTCCTTAGATAAGTCCCTTTAACATTTCATATTATAAGGGGTTGTTGATGGTGAACTCCTTTAACTTGACCTTCTCTGGGAAGCACTTTATCTGCCTTTCCATTCTAAATGATAGCTTTGCTGGATAGTCATCTTGGATGTAGGTCCTTGCTTTTAGTGACTTTGAGTACTTCTTTACAGCCCCTTTTTGCCTGTAAAGTTTCTTTTGAGAAATCAACTGATAGCCTTATGGGCACTCCTTTGTAAGTAACTCTCTCCTTTCCTCTTGTTGCTTTTAAGATTCTCTCTTTATCTTTAATCTTGGGCAACTTAATGATAATGTGCCATGGTGTGTTTCTCTTTGGGTCCAACTTTTTTGGGACTCTCTGGGCTTCCTGGACTTCCTGGAAGTCTATTTCGTTTGCCAGATAAGGGAAGTTATGTTTCATAATTTGTTCAAATAAGTTTTCAATGTCTTGTTTTTGTTCTCCTTCTGGCACCCCTATATTTCAGATATTGGAATGTTTAAAGTTGTCCCAGAGGTTCCTAAGACTCTCTTAATTTTTTTGAATTATTGTTTCTTTATTCTGTTCCAGTTGGGTGTTTATTTCTTCATTTTGCTCCCAATCGTTGATCTGAGTCCTGGTTTGCTTCCTGTTACTGTTGGTTCCCTGAACATTTTGCTTTATTTCACTTTGGGTATCCTTCATTTGTTCTTTCATTTTTTGACCAAGCTCAATCAGTTCTGTGAGCATTTCTGATTACCAGGGTTTTGAACTCTCCATCAAATAGGTTGGGTATCTCCTCATTGCTTACTTTTCTTTTTGGGGTTTTGCTCTGTTCTTTCATCTGGGCTATATTTCTTTGTCTCTCTGTACCTGTTAAGTTTCAAGGGAGCAGGGCCGTAAGAGTTCACCAGGGCAGGGCAATCCTTTTTGCTGTGTTTTTGTGCTGTCTGAGGGGGAGGGGGTCAGAGAGGGAACAATTCAGCTCACTTACTTGGCTCTAGCCCCACTTCCCAATGAACTCTCATGTGTGACAGGGAGTTTCTCCCTCTGTGGCAATCCCCATCATAGTCCACAGTCAGATCTGAGTCTCAGTTTACTGTTCAGTTAGCCCTGCTGGTGCGGTGCACACCTTGCTGCTGGTCCTTTTAGTTGGCTCCACCTACATGGTCAGCAGCCTTGCTTCAGATCTTCTAAGCTCACTGGTGAGGAAGTGGAGGGTTTCCACCTATGCCTCCATCTTGGACAGAACTCATAACTTCCATTTTAATGGTCTTTCCTCAAAATCATCTTCTTTCTCCTTTTATTCTTTTTTCAGTTCATCTCTAGATTTTCCTCTTATTGAAATATTTATCACATAGCAAAGATTTATTATGTCCTAATAGTTTCTTCCTTAAACTCCTCTGAACCCATTTATGCCCATTCTTTTTTTAAAGAATCAGCAATTATCAGATTGCAATTACATTTTTAAAAATATTTTATTTATTTATTTTTTAGAGAGGGAAGGGAGGGAGAAAGAGAGAGAGAAAGAAACAACAATGTGCAGGTGCTGGGGACCATGGCCTGCAATCCAGGCATGTGCCCTGACTGGGAATCGAACCTGCAACACTTTGGTTCACAGCCTGCGTTCAATCCTCCGAGCTACACCAGCCAGGGCTGTGCCCATTCTATAATTAGAGATTATCTACAAAGATTCATCAAAGTAGGATCCTGTTCCTCATTTTTCATTGAGAGTGAATGAGAGGCAGCATGTGTGAGGGATAGTAGTTCAAAGGGGTTGTTAAACATTCAAATAAAAATCAGTGAGGCTTTTCTTGCCTTCAGGGACTTTGAGATCTGTGGTGCATCAATTCAGTTTGATGGTTGATTTACATTTACCTTTATTCATTTTTTTCTTATTTCATACATTTCCAGAAACACCATTTAAAAAGCCCAAATTCACTTGATTAAGACAGCAGCAGGAAAGAGTTGGAGAGAATCTGAGTAAATTTTTTATAGAAGTTAATGGAAGTCACAGCAAAGAGAACTTTTGGAGAAGCTAGAGGTACTGGAAGTAGTTTCCCCACTTGGAAATTTTAGGATAATATTAACTTTAGGAGTTGGGAAGGGTAGAAAATGGCCAAAAATATAGTTTCTCTTCTCTCTATTAGAATAGTGGGTTACTTCTCCAGAGTGCATTAAATCACACATTATCTTGTAGAGTAGGAATGTTTCTCTATGCTTGACAGCACCTTCTCCTACAATCTAGGGTCCCAATTAATCTGTGCTTCTTGGAGTGTCCACTGTGAGTTACCACTAACAGTAGTACCTATGAGCTTGTTTTTTAAAAAAAAAGACATTTTCAGGCTCCACACTACTAAATAAAATAATAAAAAAATGAAAACTACATACCTGTATTTTAACAAGCCTTTCAGATTATTCTGATACACATTTAAGCTTGCAAACCCCTTGTCTAAAGATTTCTCAACCTTTGCACTATTGACTTTTGGGCCAGATAATTATTTTTATGGAAGGTTTTCCTGTGCACTGTAGGGTTTTTGGCAGCATCTCTACTCATCAGATTACAGTAGTACCTTCCCAGTTTTAACAATCAAATGTGTCTTTAGATACTGCCAAATTAGGGGGTAAATTGACCCAGATGAGAGCTTGCTTAGTTGAAATAATTGGTTCATAGTGTGTGTGTGACCTAATTTGGTTCATTCCAACTGAAGACTACAGATTATATTTGGTGGTTGGGAAAGGAAGAGCTCTCTCTTTGTCTGGATTGTATGCCATTTTCAAAACTCAAAATTATGAAAGAACTTTGTTCCATAGGCAAGTATGACCTAGGAATAAAGCTAACAAATAAAACAGAATGATGAATTGACAGAGGAAAAAGTCAAATCAAACTATACCTAGAGAATGACCTACTTCTGGATATTTTAGTTATATAAACTTGTTTCATATTTCCTTTTAAACCAATTGAGTTAGAACTTTAAATTTCTGGAAAATTGTGATATTCCCCCGCCATCTGATATCTTGCCAATGGTCTTTTCATATTATTCTTGTCCTTTCCTCTGCTTTCTTTGCTCTTCTTATTCTCTTTCCTCTCCTAAATCACCATATCTCAAAAGTGGTTTCTTGAATTTAATGATTTTCCTCTGTCTTCACCTTGGAAAACATTAATTTATCTATGATTTTGACTATGACCTCTAG